TAAACTGTGAATGGCATAATAAACGAACAGAGTAACCGCACACACACAGCGAGGACTTCCAAGTCGAAGGAAACAGTGGGTTGAAATAGAGGATAAAACCGAAAAAAATACATCTTATTTTCTTCACTACAAAAATATATAATTAAGAATATAGCAATATTAAATATGCTATAATTGCTCAAAATATACATCTGGTAGTCCTCAATTCCCAGACTCAAAGGCTTAAAAGAGTCTTTTTTATTTGATTTTGCCATATTCTTAATTATGTATGAAAGAAAATTGAATGATTCCTTAAAAATCCTTCATGCAAAAACTTTACAGATTGAAGGACTATTAACATAGGTCAAGAAAATCCCACAAAACGCTTTGAGCTTTCATGCAGTTTCTTATGCATATGTGACCACTGTACACACAGTGCCTGCAAATGTTGTGTTTACCGACCAACTTCCGGCTTGAGTGCAACGCTCAGAAGGCAAAAGACAATACGTCCGCCCGTAATCGATGTACGTCGGGGAGTTATGAGCGCGTAATAATCTATTGAAATGCGTTTTATTGCGCATACGCCGCATGGGCTCCAGCTCTGAGGACAGGAGTCGTCCTCCTGCTGGGCTGCATTTAATGGCCGACACGAGGCACACTCCCACAAACACTTTGCCAGACAGGCAGCCCACTAAATGGTGAAATGATTTCAAGTTGTCTGTGCAGTGGAGAAGGAGAAAGTTGTCGAGCAGGAGTAAGTCGAGCACTGTTGCACGCTAATTTCCCATGGCCTGAGTGCTCTGCCAGGATTATTCGCGTCTGAGCCTCTGGCCTAGAGTGTGTGAATGGAAACTTTTTGGCCACAATTCCTTTGGCATTGATTTCATTCACTTCTGAAGCTCAGCAGCTCATTTCTCGTCGAGTCAACATGTTCGCCTGGTCACTAATTAGTCGTTAATGATGCATTTCCCCCCGCCCGACCAGATTGCATGTCTCGATTATTTCATTTCATTTTATTTCGTTTTCGTTTCGCGCACACGCAAGCACCCACTTTTCCCCAGGGTTTAATCTTGTATCTGGGAATCGAATCCAGCGAGACACGCAATATTGAAGCCCTGCAAAAAGTCAGCCGCTTTAAATCTCCTCACTCACGCCATGAGCTGTGGAATTTTCCGCTTCCGTGATTCGGTTATCCTTATTTACCTGTAAAGAGATAAAACGAGAGCGCACGTTGAGAGAGAGAAAGAGACAGTGGCAGCGGCAGAGGAAGCGGCAGAGCTGATTAAAATATTTGTGTATGTGGCATTTCAATTTGCTTTGCATATAATTATTATGGTATTACGAATACGCCCCATGTGATACAACTTTCGGGAAGCATCTCTCACTGAAAAATTAACATAAATCCAAAGAAAATATTTGCATTGCCTTACAGCCTCATGGCATTCCCGTATTTGAAGCATATTTTCATCAGCAGCACGATGCCACTTGCGGCCAATAATTTGCATTCACAAAATATGGCGCCGCCTTCTTTGAAGTGTTTTAATTTTCCAAAGCGCTTTTTGGATATACAAATGATTTGTTTGGAATTCTTGCAGCTGTTTTGTGTGTGTAAAGTGGTTAAACCTGATTAAGGAAGCGGATTTGATTGATTTCATTATGCTTTAAATATGAATTTAAATCATAAATATGTACATAGAGCGAGAGATACAGCATTGAGCAATGAATTGTGAAATATGAAAATGTGCATCGTAAATTGGTAGAATATTGTATTTTTCCCACATTATTTATGATTGCATTTCCAATTCCCCGAGTGATCCGAACAGCAAAACCATCCCAGGCCATCCCAGGCCATGAAAATTGACATCTGGACTTTGGGGGCTGTCATTAATTTGCTTCGTTAATGTGGAAGGCAAACAAAGTGGAAATTGCGTTCGCTCATTATTTTACATTGTAATTAAATTTATATCTCATGGCACCCCGCACATACAGTACATATATATATCTGATTGGCCTACCCACCCCACCCATCCGAAAATTTGTTGTTACATAATTACAAGAAATAACACCGCAGGACATTCATCGGTACAGGAGCACAAACAAAGCATTAAACTGGAAAACATAAATCAACCATTAAGCACAAAATACAAAAAAAATTAAGCTCACAAAGTCAATGGGATTTTAACTACAATCAAGATGTCGTGTTTCCCAAAGGGGGGTTCGCGTTTCGCTTTCACTAATTAATGCACAGAGTCCATTGCTAATTCATGTATTATCCCAGCCCCTCTACCCACTCCCCCACTCGAATGACAAGCACACAAAAAAGATTGTATCTGTCTGTCATTCAGTTGGAAACTTCATTCATTTAGAAGTTACAAATACACCTGTCAGTGTGTGTGAGTGGGTATCTCTGTGTGCACACACACACACGGTGGTGCGCTCTGTTCACTGAGCACCAAGCTAATTGATTACAACAAAATTTCAATTCGTGCTTAATTAAATTAAATTTTTGATTTTATCACAACGATGCCCCCGCCGGCGGCATATGGCGGACAGTGCTCCTGCCGCTCTCATGGGCGGGTTGCTGTTGTGTTCTTTAAAGCATTAATTGTATTATATTCATGGCAAGGAAAGAAAAGCCAAGAAAAAAACGCTGTAATTACCGCCCACACCTAATTAATGATAATCTTTTGTCTTAGGCCTGATTAACATTTGTGTGCGTGTGTATGTGTCTGTGTGTAGTGTAGCTTACACATTAATTAATGTTTCATAGGAGGAAAACAAAACATACAAAAAATAAAGAGAAGGGAAGGCTGGCTATGGAGGTCGAGGCTACGGATACTCTGGAATATATATCCTTTTAATTTTCCCTACACTATTTGCCCCAAAAAAAAGTTAGCTTTAAACCCACTTAGCTTCCTTTTCTTCATTACAAACATCTCCCCCTAATCACAATACCCTCTGAAGTAGGGCATACAAGGAGCAGAAACAAAACAGGTCAACTATTTAAATATTTATTTCACTCATTTGTTTTGTGGGCACACCATCCCAGGCCAGACCCCATTCTCCATTCTCCATTCTCCATTCCAAGAGTGCGTGTGCGTGGAGACAGAAATTACCTTTTGCACACAAATTGCATTTGCGTGTCAACCGCAGTGCGTCAAAAGGGGGCCCCCGACCCCCAGCATTTCCTGAGAGTGGATGGGGTGGCTATAGGCGTGGCTCTCGTATGTCGGCCCTTCGAAGCGTGCGTAAGTCGGCAACATGTAAACGCGTATTAATTAAGGCAAAACAAAGCGCCGCCGCTCAAGACGCAGACATTTGCAGACGAAGAACAAGACCTCGAAGACGATGACATGCAAAGGGAGTGGTAGAATTCATACTATAGTCGAAGGCGTGAAGGGGGGAAGGGGGCGGCGGGATGTCAAGAGCCTGTAGACTCCCACCGGCGTCAAGGCTGCTTGCCACTTGAATGTAGGAAACGGCGGGCGATGGCATGTCCTTATAGTGTGCCAGACGTGATACATTTAATTTCTTTCATTTTTTTTGCGTGCGATTCCCTTTGACTGATTCCTTTTATAAGAGAACATTTAAACATTTTAATTACATCTCTCCTTCTGCCTTTATTTAAACACGAAATATATTTGTGGGCAGAGAGCTCTTTAAGAGCGGCATCAATGCCTCTGATGCTGTCAGGGCTTTCCCGGGACTGTCAGGCCACCTGTCAACAGAGTCCAGAAATGTCAATCTCTTGCTCGAAAGAGAACTCTGTCTGGCAAGCGAAGGCAGTATGTATTTGCACATGACCGGGAGGCAGGTGAGTCTCCTTCTCATTCTCATTCTCATTCTAGGAACCAATTAAGTGAGAGAAAAATGCATTCACAGAACCCTTTAAGCACGCTCGTGCGGACGGACACCAATTTCAATTTTCGTGCCATTTCCACTCCCATTTTAATTGCAATTCGTGTTGTAATTTCGATGGCAGGCGGGCAGGCGGGCAGGCAGAGACTTGAGGCAGCCGCTGCCGCTTCATTGGTCATTATGGTCAGGCGGCCGTAAACAAATCCGTAAACAAACTGGACTGCCACCTGCCACCTGTCGACACCTTGCACACCCCTTTGTGTGTGTGTGTGTGTGTGTGTGTTTTTGTGTGTAGAAATTACAGGTTTTTAGGGCAAACCGCAGACCAGCAGGCGGCGTCGGCGGTGGTAACACGAAAAGTTACAAGTCCCAGAAAAAGGCAAGCGGAAAAGCCTCACGACAACAACAACCCCACAACAACGAAAGAGCGGAAAGGAAACAAAAGGAAAGCAAGAGGAAAACTGAGAGAAAAATTCATTCATTATCATGTCACGTCAATCGAAAAACAATCTAATGACTGCACATGATTTCTATCTCAAATAGGTTCGAGAAAAAAGGACCGCAAGCTGGTGGAAATTGCCTCCCCCCACAGCCACACAGAGACACACACATACACACACGTACACGCAGATACACTCAAATGAGCAGTCGGAAAAGTGGCTGAAAAGTTTGTGGGTAAAACGTTTATTATGCATTAGCCATGCTTAAACGGTTAAATCAACTGTAAATCACCCAACGCCCGCCCGCAAAATAAGGTCAATGAGAAAGGTCCTTTGGTCAACTGGCAGCCAAATCAAGTGTGAACCAAGTGAGAGAGATTTGATAAATCGCAGCGATAATATGTGTGTGTTCACCAGGGAAGTTGGGCAACACTTTGTGGGAAGTATGTCGAAACCAGATGATACGCTTAGGGGAAGGGCACATTCAAATGGGGTTTGTCGAAGAGTACCCACCATTTTGGCATAGGTTTATACTAGATGATAGAGGGGTTTTATTGGATGGGATCTTCCTTAGATGATAGGGGCGTACTACTTATCAGTAGTACCAGATTTCCCAGCAGTTTGGGTCTGTAAAAGCTCCCATTGCCTACACTGTCAAATCATTATCATATCCAAGAAAATGAATACATTTTTCCGCCTAATACTCGTATAAATTCAAGCAAAATGAAAGGTAGTATCATAGAAGAAGAGTTTATCATCCCAAAATATCCCCTGCTGCCGGTGCCACTCATCAAATATGAAACCATACACAATCTGGACTGCAGCAAAGATCTGAGTGTCAGTCTGCCAATCGCTATAGAAGCCGTGAAGGATGCTGCAGGTGGCGATGCTCCCAAGGCGCCAACGGCTGGCGCTCGAATGTTTCAGAGCATTGGTTCGAAAGAGGCATTCTCGGAGGAGCCCGAGGAGATCAAATACAAATGGAACTCGCCGCGTCTGATGATACTCTGTGCGGATGGGGACATCAATTGTGCCATGCACTATCTGTTGGAGTCCTTACACGATCCCTTTGCTGCCAATGCGGTGGCCACGCTGCTGCTGCAGGAGTCCATGCTGGAGGAGTTTGTGAATCGACTGGAGGATCGCTTGGAGGAGCTGCGCCCCGAGATAGCCAATCATCCGGTTTATCTGACAACTCTGACCAGAATCGAAGAGTTGAAGGCCAGAACGATTGTGTCCTCCTTGGAGAAGGTGCCACGGCACGCCTCGCCCACGATTGTCTTCGATCTCAGTCACAGTTACCTGGGGAATGGACCCACTGGGGTCATAACCCTGCACACCTTTCGCACCTTCAAGGAAGCCCTCCAGCTGCAGGCGCGCGAGTCGGTGGACTTCACTTCGGTGAGCATCTGGAATGAGAAACTGAGCGCCGCTTACGAGCTGGTAGCACGCCTCAATTTCGATATATTTTTGCTGAACTGCTTCTACGTGAATCTGGACCCCATTGGGCTGGCATTTGTGAGCAATCTCAACTCTGCGAAAGTCACCCAGGACTACCACTACGAAACGCTGACTTTCAAGAAGAAGCGCAAGGTGATTGTTCATCCGGCGACCACCATCTGGGGCCAGAAGGCCAAGGAGTTGCAGCCACCACAGCCGCGATCTCTCAATGCGATGGTGATGTAGAGCCCCTCATCCAGCCTGCCCCCTCTGGGGGTCACTCAACTCTGGAAAGTTTCGGCAACAAATGCTCCACCCAAAAATATCGGACTAATTGAGTTTACAGCTGCTTGGGCAGCAGCTCCATTAGCAATTTGATTGCCCAGAAATAAGTTTCTAAGGAAATTCAACAGGCGGCTCGCTCGTTCTTTTGGAAGAATAATCAATGGAAAATTGTCGGTGTGCTGTGAGTGTGTGTGTGTGTGTCTTTTAGATGTCCCTCTTTGGTGTTGTTAAAATTAAAAATTCCTTTTGCGAAGTAATTTACGTTACGTGCCAATAATCTCGAAAATTCCCATTCCCAGCCCCACAGCTGCTCCCCCTCCTCCTGGCTCTGCAGTCCTATCTGCCTGCTTCCCAGGACAACAAAGCCAACAACAAAGAAAAGTTCATGTTGGCAACAAAATGAGGTGAGGCAGAACCCTCAGGGGTGGCAGGAGGTGTAGCAGGAGCCTTCATGAGGCAACAGAAGCAGCAACCTCAGGAGCGGGAATAACAGTAACCCCAGGAGGTGTTTCAGGAGCCTCCAGGAGAAAGAGAGGGAGGAGTAGCAGTAGCCCCCAGAAGGAGGCACACGAGGAATTTAGAAAATGCCATAATTACTCCACTTTCCACTTGCCACCGCCTCCACCTCCACCTCCACCTCTACTCATCGGAGATGGACGTCGACCTGCTGGCAGTGGCGATGATGGTGTGGTTTTAATGCTATGGGGCGGTCCTATTAGTGGCACATTCGGCTTGTTGGTTGGCCAAATAATACCACTCTCAATGGAGGAAGCCCAGGAAGAGGAAGGACAGCAGGCTGTAGTCCTGGTCCTCGGAACCCCACAATCTCGACCCCAACCCCAAACTTTATAATGTACTTCCGTTTGCTTTCATTCACATGGCAGCGCCATATCAAAATATTTGACATTTGCATAAATAAAGCGCGCGATCCGGGGCCCCTGAGTTGAAAGTGAAATAAGGCCCGACCGGCCCGGCCCGGCCTCCATATATGTATAGTAACGCGACTCCTGCCCCCTGTCTCCTGCCCTGCCACACAAATATCATGCCAGCAATTGGGCAAATTTAAAAAAAAGGGAGAGGGGCAGCAGGAGCAGCAGAAATATGCAACGCAGGCAGCCAGAACAAAACCGTGGAATGTCCGCTGAAACAGACCATACTGAAAGCGAACCACGAGGCTCGTTGGGCTGGATTGGGGGTTGGTGGGGGTTGGTTGTGGTGTTGGCGTAGCATGCCACTAAAGCAAAGCCAACTCACTAAATAAACAAAATCATAAACCAACAAGCGCGAGAAATATGGGAAGCTTTGTTTAGGGCTCCAAAATGTGCTGATACTCTCCTCCTGATGGAGAGATTGGGAAGAAAATGGTTCAATATGAAGCAGGATTACAATACAAAAGAAAATGATAAATTTATAAATGCTGCATCGATAGAAGAAACGACTTTATGCTTCTAAAATATACATAGAACTCTTGTATCATTCAAACCATAGGTATCGAAAAGAGAAAAGATCTATATCATGATGCAGCAAGCAATTTCGAAGATTCTTTCAATATTCAATGGATCTTCCACCTGAAAAGTACCCCTCCTTATACGCCTAATATTATCAAATAACAATTCCCTTCCCATATGGCTGATACCCTCTCGTAAGGGCATGTCTCACACACTTCCTCTCCCAAAAAAAAATAAAAATAAAGAGGAAAAACCCCAGCGCGAAATGAAGTTTATTTATCCAGCGAATGGGCAAAAAATTAGAGGCGGCTGCATGCAAATTGGCAATTAGGAAATCCTTTATTTTATGAATTCTTTTTTCTCCTGCCGGAGTGAGTGCCGATTTCATTTTCTTGGTTTTCATGTTGGTTTTCATGGCTGGGTGGGAATGGGAGTGGGAGTGGGAGTGCGACGGCCTGGTCTGGCTCGTTGACTGGTTGGGTTTTCAAAATGCAAATAAATGAGAGTCCTCCCTCCTTCTGGCCCCTTGGCTTACTTCCTCCCCTGCAACTTCTGTGCGGTGTTGAAGCCCCATTTAGGGCTTTTATTTGGTGTATGGTGGTGTGTACTGTGGGTGCGGTTCGGAGGGTGGGGTGGCTCCATTTTTCACGCTTTTATTTGGCATTTTATTTTGGTAACGTATTTAATTTCATTGCAGGTTGGTGCCTGCCGTAGTTTATATTTATTTTTACCATATGAATGGAAATGAATTTGCTTAAGTTGAAGGTTAACTTTTCAAAACGAAACGGAACGAACCGGCGATATGTATGCGCCATTTAAAAATATTATCGCGGAAAAAAGCAAATGTTGGAAGTGGCAGTCTCTTGGGGGGGGGTGGGATTAGTTGATCAAAACAAAGTAATCGTGCAACTAATGAGCTCTCAAATATCAAATTAAATGAGTGGATACTCCACAAATGGATAGTGTAAAGGAAATACTAAGCGGGGTTGGGGGCAGGATGAAAATCGGGATATCTCTCGAAAAATAAATCCACAAGCGATAAATTTCAGAGGGGCAGGCAGCAGCCGCACGTCCAGGGAAAAACCTCTTGACGTCCGTTGGCTGGGAAACATTTCGTTTCGTTTCGCTTTGCTTTGGTTTGCCTTACTTCGATTTTGTTTCGTAATTGGAAAGGTGAGGGCGAAACGAAAGCAAAAGAAAGAAAAAACCAAACAAAGAGAGGCAGACGGCGAGGTAAAGCGAAGCCCAAAGTGAAGTGGAAATCTCAGTTAAGTTGAAAGATTACATCCTGTTTGGGAATGGGAATCGGTGGATGGGAGGCTGGGAGGATGGGAGGATGGGATGCTGGGAACCTTAACTAAAAGTCAATTCCCAAATCAACAGTGGAAGATGACTGGATGGAAAAGTAGCTTATTTCAATCGACAATGTTTAAATTGTGCAAATCCTTTTATTTTAACGATTCTCAAATGTTTCTCTCTTCCTGTTTTTGCTCTCTCTTTTTGTTTTGGGACATTGTTTCATGCAAGTTTGATTTTCAAATCAACTGCAGGTCTGCCTTTAATCCGGCCGAGGGTCCGCTCTATTCAGTTGTCAAAATAAAAGACCTGGCAACCTGTTGCTAAAGAGGATTACTCGTGCGTTGAATGCCACCACCACCCCGCATAGGATTTCCCCTTCTCCTCTTTCTAAACACACAGAAAGAGAGAAAGTTTTCACTTTGATATTTGATTTCCAGGGGCCCAGGGCCCAGGAAAAGTCACTCGAATGGAAAAAGGTTCAAATTACCGCGAGTTTTTAGCTGTTTTTTCTTCAGTTTTCTTTCTCCGTATCCCAATTTTTGTTGGCTGCACTTTACCTTTCGGCTTTTTGAGTTTTTATGCCAAAAGCTGGTCTGGAAAAAGTCCCTGACCCACTCAGCGGTGCCTACTGCTGCCTGCTGCTTGCTGCTTGCAGTGGCTTAAAGCCACTCAGCGGTGCTACTTTTTTTTTTACAAATTAGAGTATGTCTACAAATTGAGGTAAAAATTTGATCCGTTAAGGGATTTAGAAATCCATTTAACAGCCGTGAAGCACTTCCAAATTTCGTCTTTTTAAAGCGGAAGTTTTCCTTTGAATATCGATTTAATTAATTTGAAAAACGTTTCAGTCTCGATTAAATATTAACCGGGCTGACATACGAGTATTTATGAATGTCGAATGTGGCATATGGAATATGGAATGTGAGTGCTTCCGCTTTGTGCCACACTGCCGCTGCAGAAGGTACGGTTCTGTGGTGGCTTAGGGGAGCAGCAGGTCATATCGCATGACAGCCATTAGGAATATTGATTTCCATATCGCAACATTAACCAGAGTCAGAAGGCAGTAGCGGCAAAAAGCAGCAGCTTATTCTCAAGCAGGCAAAAAACAGCAAAAGGCAAAGGGGGAGCGAGACGGGGGAGGAAGAGAGAGAGGCAGAGACAGAGACAGTAGAGTACAGCAGACAGGATACAAACACTCGCACAGATACTTTTCTGGCATACACACATCGAAATGCGCTGACGTAATGTGAAAATTATGCGTTGTAATTTACGCCAGCCAGAAGGAAAAGCGGAAGACGACGCACTCAAACAGTTCAGGCAACAGCAGGAGCGAGAGGGGGAAAACCCAAGGAAAGACAACGAAACAAACGAAGAAAAAACATGCAAGATATTTAAAAGAAGAAGATCTAGACAGACACTCACACAGATACACATGTTGGGATGTTTGGGTGTGTGTGTGTGTGTGTTTTTTATGCAGATGTGGACATGAAAAATTGGAACACTTTAACAGTCAAAGCAGGGAGACACACAGGCTCCCCATCTCCTGTTACTATCCCCCCTCTCTCTTTCTCTGTTGTTGTTTTTTGGCACTTTTTCAGCATCTTCTGCTTCATCTTACACTTTTTTGCTGTTTTTGTTTGCTTTTGGGTGGAGCCCCGAAAGGAAGTTGTAAAAATAAAACATAGCACGTTTGCAAGTAACAAAAAAAAATCAACAACAACAAAAATAACAAAATGTAAGCCATGGAAAAATGCCACCAAGAAAATACCCGATTGTTAAATGGAATGCAGGGGAGACGACAAAAGAAATACTTCATTCGAGGAAATATCTTGAGAGATTCGAACGGAATTTGTTAGAAGATCCTATTGAAAGTTCTTAAAATTATAGATCAAAAGGATAGATCTATATCCTGACAGTGAAAAAAGTTATACATATCTTATGAATTTTTCAAGAATGATTTCAAATTTAGAAGCCCTGAATCAAGCTTGATCCTTTGTTCGTTCTTCCTAATGTCACATAAATCGCTTGCTACTCAATACACCCCTCTATTCCCTTTCAACTAAAGGGTATATCTATACAAAAACAATAGAACGAAAACCCAGAAGCACCAGCAGAGCAGGGCAGAAAAACGAAAGTGAAAAGCACCGAAGGCGAAGAAAAATAACTACATGAAAATTTGTGGTCGCTGAGGAATGCGACTGTGGGAACGGAGGAGACTCCTCCTTCGTGGAGATGCTGAAATTTGCGGGCACTCTAAGCGTGGCATGTGGCATTGGCATCGACATCAGCAGCAGCAGCAGCAGCAGCAGCAAAACAACCTGCGTGTGTAAATGTTTCGAAATAAATTTGTGTCGCCTGCAACGTTGGCAGAAAAATGAAAATGAAAATAAAAATGTGTGTAACAACAGCAAGAACAAGCTGGGGGCCCAGAGAAGAAGCAAAGCCTCATAAATGTTTACACCTTGTCTGGGTAGACTTTTAGGCTCAAATGGTGGATG